TCTGAATAGTACAAGCGTGTTTGGGCTTTCATAGGGTCACACCTACTCTGGCCATAGCAGCTACAGCACAGTCAAACATTTTACATGCAAAAAAAGTAAAATATATTCTTTCTATACAAATTATGCAATACTATTATTTCACATTGATAGAATATTCCAAAGAGCCAAAATGAAGCTGACAAGTTGTTAGAACCCTTGAAGATTTAATTTCCAAACTTTCCAATCTCTCTGCTGTCAGACTGCTGAAAGCATAAAAATCTACGACTTGGAACCAATTTCCTCAAAATAATTACAGAAAAAAGAAGACAGTCTATAGTGTATCAAATGAAATTCCCAGACTTGGAGAGAGGCAATCTCGTAGAAGAAACCGACTCCACAAAAACTCATTTTAAAACATATGGCAGCTAAGGGAGACAGAATATACTCTACGACGTTGCGGCGGGGCATACGGCGCTCAAGGGACATTTCGTACAATTCAAACTGCAGGCTAACAGCGGGTCCTCAACATTACAATACAACAAACAGGATTTCTGCATTTCACTTCCAGACTGATCCAATTTGCATTTTACATGCATTTACCACAGACTAATGGTTCTTCGGGTTTCCCAGACGGTTAACTTGGAGCATTTTAATGCTACAAGCATATTCATGATAAAGAAAAGCTGAGTCAGAGATGCAACTAAGCTGACATCTGCGATATCAATTTATAAAAACCAACAGCACTGACGTAAAGTGACGGCTAGTCCATCCAGCAAACATTTAAGAAGTCAGGTTTATATTGGAACAGAAAACTCTACAACAGGAAGAAAATCAGCAATTCTAATTGAAAATTCTCCTGAATCAGCAAATAATATTTTGATTACAAAATCAATGTCTGTACAGGGTTTCAGATCCTGTCGAGGTAATTAGTGGTCCTGCGAGAGCTCGGGTATAAAAATGACATTTATTCGATGATCCTAAGGAGATGTATGGAACAATTCCCACTTAAAACTGAAGCAGGTCCTATTCTCCCCGTCAGACAATCAATGAACTCCCATACAGATCTGATATTTTACATGTAATATCAGGGAACTGGAGCTGTAAGATATATATACCAAAATTCTGTTCTGAACAGCTACACAACTAATCAGAAGAGGTATAGGGTTACAGTGAAAACGTTGATATTTATTTGTAGTTGTTCTACTTAACTGTTTAATTAATCATGGTAGTACTTTTAATTTGCATCCCAATTAACTCTACTTATATACTTGTACACCAGGATTGAGAATCAAAATTATAATTCTTACGATGCCTCCAACTACACTTGCCCAACACATTTGTCATTAGGCTCTGACTGTACAAGCCTTGACCTTACATACACCTCTGCATTGTCACTTACGGTTTGTCAGTGGAGGTGAGAGATGACCATTGCTTATCTGAGGTAACTAAGGTCAAGCGACACAGTCCAGCGACTCACTTACCAGTGGTCAATAAGTGACCCATGGCGAGAATTACCTGTCTCACCAGGTAAACACAAGGACAGGACCTAATTAGTCACCGGTCAAGCTGTCCACTACTCCGGCCATCACCTAGCTGGTACTAAGTGGTGTCCTCGGTCCATGCCAATCTCTTTCAGGACATGTCACAACTCCATGAATATCTTTCGATAATTGATCATTTCTATTTTCAGACACAAACATGCACGAGAGTTGTCGAAAAACAGACCCGATCCCATTACAATTCCATGAAAAAACTTACTGGTACTCAATTGTCAGCTATTTTTGCATAAACCTTCTATTTTAATATACAAAGTAAACGGATACATCAACACAAAAAAATGTCTGAGAAAGTGTTTCATAGAATGTAAAGATGTGTACTTGTTATTACATTTGTAAATGTGAACAAAAACATTTACGAAAAAGTTCAAAAGTTTATGCCGGAAAAAAATATGTTTTCACTGTCAATATACATGCGGGTATTTGTCACTTGTCAAGTGTCTACAATTGCTTAAATAACGAACATAAGAGCCGAGGGCTACAACCACATAATCGCTGACCGACATTGTCCAGTACATTTAAAGGTCAGTCTGAGGTACTGGACTCTCAACGGGCCTGTTAGTACCTGGCAAAGTACTGGTCAAAAGTTAAAACAGAAATTTTAACTAGATGTATAAACAGCTTGAAGTGGTCCGTATGTTGATCAGGCCTTGAATCAGACGGACATGAATGGACACTGTCCGAGTATCGATTTCAATACCCCGGTACCAGGTACCACAAACAGGCTAATATTGTATCTATAAAAATAAAACTCCATCCGACTGTTACCCATTTATATTTATTATCTATTAACGTGAATGTAGAATCTATTTAAAAGGACATTTCTTTACCGCAAAATTAGATGTTTCGTAAATGTGTATCTGAACTATTTCAGAAAACCAGTCAATCTTGAAATTACGCAAATGTGAATTATAAGCCTCGGGGAGAATGAGTATGAAGACTACGAAACCGTAATTTTAACGTAATTGAAAATAGGGATAAAAAATAAACAGACAAGTTTTTCATTAAAACAGATTTCAAGTTTGATAACCTTTGAATATTTGGAACATTGTTACTATTTTTTTTAATATGTAACAAGATCCTGACCTAAATATGAAGGAATTTATTTGGCAAACTTTCCAAATGACCGACTTTTCAAAATTCTGATGATCATGTCGATGAAAACTATCTTTCAAATCAGCACAACCCGATTTGAAGGTCAGTGTATATTGAACAAGAACTGTTTTATTCTTAAAAGCTTCAAATATTAAGTTACAAACTTGCCTAAATATACTCGATATTCATTCGAATTAACCATACATGTATCGATAAGACAGCCTTTTGCCCTGTTGGTTGTGTATGAGAGAAAGTCGAACAGTTATACACCTGTTGAGTGTACCTGAATCACAGGTAATGAGCTAAGATACCTGTAACGAGATTGTATTTCCGACTAAGCTAGGCGTGTCCGAGGCTGGATTTGGTCTAAGGGTTGATATAAACATATGTATATATGGTCACCGAGAAAGTCTGCCAATATAACAAAGCCATATATTATCTCACCAACCTATTATACACGACTAATGAAACTGTTGGCTCACGCCCAAATCAACCAAACAGCTTGTTTAAAAGCTTTTTTACCTAACCCGTTTCTATATACTTGTAAATACACCTTGCTCACTGAATTGTCAACTATTTTATTGCATGATGTTTAAAAATTTACCTATTTAATATGTAAATTTCTTCTTTATAGTCGAAGTCCAAGATCTGTGTCAGGTTGAAATTTACAAAATTGTCATGGTTTCAAAGGTGTTTTTTTCTCTCTCTTTCTAATTCTTTCCTTTTCTCTATTGTTTCTTCCCTTCCGACCTACATTTAGGTCGAGTTGACTTTTCAGAGCAGACAATAAGATAGTTATCGGTGATTTTTGGTGCGTGTTTTGTTCCCTTGTTTGAAAATGTTCAGATAAAAAGACCACTGGTTACACGCCATCATTAGATCGGACAATTTGACATTAACATGAAACTCGCAACGAGCAAAGAGACACATAATGATGCTTAATTAGAGGGCTCTCCATATCTATCGAGACACGAGAATGTATAGCTAGCCGCTTCGAGTCTGTGCGAGAAAATGTCCTTGCATGTGGACAAACAATGACAACAGTTTGTTTGTATACTGTGTTGGTATGTCAAATCATCACTTGTGGATGTTTCATTCATAAACATGAAATATGCACCAGACAAATTTCTTTCCAAGACTCTCGGCTTATATTACATGTTTTTATGTAGAACATTCCAGGCTTGCTATATATATATATATATACATATACATACTATTTAGACCTAGTGACATTTCGTATGTTAATTTAATTAAATGTACTCCATTATCAAACGCCACAATTTAATGGAGCAATCTGAATTTGATATCAAAAGCACACTGTACAAATGATCTGTTATGTTGGGAATGTCTTTTTTATCTGCAGATCACATTAGCACCACAATGGGTTTATATGAACTTCACAAAAGATTCCCCTCAAGTTATTCCTTCTCGGTGAACCAGAATGTGCAACGGTTGAAAAAATTCTTTATGGGACTTTCTTTCCTCATAGTGAATCATCAAGTGGGAAATTTTACAGACAAGTCAATTTTCAAATTCGCTGAGGTTTTGTCGTGACTTTTATTGATGCCATGGTAACAACCATTTGTCAAGCTCCGCGACATAATTAGGGGTCTACCGGTGGAATTGTGTAGTTTGAAAGGTAAACACCCGGTCACCGTTGTCAAATGAGTCACACGGATCTCCCTAACAGCTACCGATCTACACCTGTACTCCCCGCAATAACCACACACAGTACAATTAGCAACGTTTAATTTTTCAAACTTTTTCCGTTTACCGGTTTATCAATAACTGCCGTTTTGTTAAATTGTATAATCTCAAAATCGATGTTTATTTTCCGTCTCGTTAATTCACTATGCCGTAGAGACCATGTAATGCATAGGGAACTTGTTATTAAAGATCATGTGGTGCTAATAATGTGATATTAATTCTACTTCAATATCATGTCTCCAGACAATGAAGATAAAGATTCCCGATTTTTGATTATTTATCTTTTAGAAATGTCCCCAAAACTCGCAATCTGTTACTGCTACCTTAAACTGTCATGAATCGATGAATCCATAATTATACAATAGCAGCAGATGGACAATATACCTGACCGACAAAATCTATGAATAGGCTCAGAGTAGCTTAAACTTGTGACATGAATGTATTAGTCGTTTTTCGGCCTTAATATACCTATAGGGTTATACACTGGTAGAGACAAAGACCATTTACGAGGCGTGATTATCAATGTTGTTTGCTAATTTTGGTCACGGTTTGATAAGAGGGCAGGGCACCGGCCCCGAACAGAACAGGTAAGTGTGAATCATCCGATTACACAATGTCAGCTGATTGTGTATATATGTGTGAGTAACGTGCTAATCAACTCACCTGGCCGGCCGTATCACAAAGCTGCAGACGCACAGGTGACCCATCCACTGTGACAACAACTGTCAAAAAAACAGAAAAAAATCAAATGAGTCATTAATTGTAGGAATAGATCCGATACAGAAAGTCGTAGGAAAAAAATGTTTTGTTCTGAATCGGAGCAAAAAAATATTGAAATTAACCAGGAATTGCTTTTTTTTACGTACAACAGTTCTTGCGAGTATAAAGTATTAAAACAAAGCCCCCCCCACCCACACTCCAGCCTCAATTATTCCTGAAGACAATTCTGTAAGAGCTTCCATATTTTACCTGGATGTTCCCGATTGATCTAAGTTCCTGAATACAGAGGCAACGCCAATATACCCATTATTTTGTAACGTTCCCAGCTAAAGGTACCCCTGATATAAATCTCTTCGTTAGAACAGGAACTTAGAGATTAAACCATTCTATTATATGACCTCAGTTACATAACATGAATCCCAATATTTTATTCATGACATCGCGATGACACTGGTATACGTACATGTACATATCTGAAACATCAGGTATTGTTTACAAACTACCTGAGGTAACAAAGAAATCGATATCCTCTATTATCACTTTGTTTACGCTATATATGTACAGGTAAATGACTTTGTTTATCCATCGTTTATAATCTACCTGATAGGTATTAATAAACCTGATGTCAAGTCCCCTCCATTGTGATAAATACAACGAAACAGTGGTCAGTTTGTCCAGCGTCTCAAGATATTTACGACTGTCCGAAGAGTTTATAATCCTGACGCCGAAAATCTGCCGAAAATCTTGCTTGTGTTTAGCTACTCATCGACACTTTGCCAAATTGTCTTTAACAAATAAACTCACACCAATAAAATCATCATAAATTTCTGTCAAGGAGATATACACCCATAAATCTCGCATCACAAATTTGATCGCTGTTCCATGTTCGTTTTTCGAGGGGAGTTCATTTGAAGTGTTTGTAGACATCACAGGCAGACTTTTAAATGGCAGCTTGGTATCAATGAATTCGTGTACAGTGTAAATACAGACTCTAGCCGGTCTTCTGTGGCAGTGAAATCATTCATATTTAAAGCGGTTACGATCTATAAAACCACAGATCTTGTTTACCTACCCATACAAAGTCTATGCATAAAAAAAATGACCTATATTCAAGATATATATTCAGACGTTTTCTGAATGAATTAAAAGTTTGAATGTGGTAGTGGAAATTTTTTATCGTCTACACATTCGGGGCAAAGTAAACTTCAGTCACACTTTATAATCGTTTACAAACCGAAATACACATAACTAAGAAGGTTGTATTTCATGACAAGTCCAACTTTTTGAAGAGTAGAATAATTTCAAAATATGATTGAAAGGTCCAGTAGCAAAATATGATTTGAGCCAAATTTCAATTTTTATTAAATGGATCAGCCAATTCACATGATATATAAGCCGTCTAGAAAATTATTATTTAGGTGAATTTTACAGGTCACGACTTTTTACCTGACAGGGGTTAATAAAAATGCTTCTAACTTGGCCAGGTACTCACTGTGATGAGCTGTACAGGTAAACAGACAGGTATATTTCCTGTTAGTGTATTAGAACACCAGGTGTTTCTGATAAGTGGCTAAGTGGCTAATCAATGCCCCTCCCCTACTAATGGAGGCTAAGAGATTGATCAGAGAAACTATGGGGAGTATATGTCAGAGAGGTAATATCTCAGACTAATATCTATAGTACGTCACCTTATGACTGCTTTGTTACAAGTCTGTTAAGTGGGCTATCAAATTTCCAAGATATCAGAAACACTTATTTTATAAAGAAAATTCACCAACAGTAAGCATAAACGTCTACACCCTCCATTTCCATTCCCCAACTAATTCAATTGTGAAAATCTAAATTATCCACTTCAAAAACCTCAGAACTATATGTAGAACAATTTACAATTTTATCAGTTCACAGTCAAATCACAAGTTCATCAATTTTATTTTTTCTATTCCAAAAAACTTGTCTAAACTGATCACTAAAGGGGAAAAATATTTATTCTGAAAACTCGTCTAAGACCAGAGGAACACCACAGGGACCATTTATTTGTTCAGAATCAACAGGTTTCAGACTGACCTAGTTGAATGTCTGATAGAAATAATACAGGTTTTTATATTTACACAAATAACTGTCTGACAGCACGGTTTTTCATTTTATTTAGTTAGGAGGACAGATTACACAGTAAAATCTGGTAATGAACAAATTTATTTTACATTAAATCAATTAAGTGTTAAGTATACCATAACATTTTGTTAACAGTATATTAAAAAAACTTTATCTTCTGAACAGGAAATTAAGCTTGATATTTCAATTACATTCTGATAGGAACATGAATATTTATATTTAAAGTTTAATAAAGGTCGTTTCCTTTCTACATACACCCTGACCCCCTTTGGGATAACACTGATTCATAACTACCAACATTTTCTGCCCTGGATACAAGGCCCTCCAGTCTTTATTTATTTATGAAGATGTTGTATTAATAGAATCCCCAGCCAGCAGCTGTAACTGTTAGCTCAAGTGACACCCAATACACACACACCAACTTGGAGGCTGCCCTGAAACTCGCAGCACTCTCTCAAGTCATCACATTGTCTGAACCTCCTAGCGTGTTTACACTCGGCTTACCTAATCTGGAACCACTTTTAAACAAATGTGACCCAGACAAGCTTAAGCCTTTCAACATATTTCTGAACATAATTAGCATATTCCAAAATTTAATTATTATAATGTTCCACTGACGCCTTTTCACAGTTAAGTAATAACTGTTGAAGCAGCTGACTAATACATAAAACAATTTATGACCAAAGTAATTTTTTTTTACCACTTTTTAGAAACACTTTATACATTTATGCAATATATATATATATGTTTTTAACACAGTTGTAATACATTGTAAAATTACAGATTTACCAAATTACCAAGCTGTTTGCCATCTACTGTATTCTTTATACACAAAACATATATACACAACAGTACGTGTTAAACATACATAGCTACAGATAAACGTTGCTTTACAAAACTGTAGTTTGTAAATATTACACCTGTAAAATTCTTACCTGCATAGTTGTCGAATGCTGTAGGGGTGTATTCGGTGGGATAGCCGTTGGTCGTGTAACTGACCACCAGACTAGTCTTGCCCACGGCTCCGTCCCCTACTAAAACACATTTAATTTTTGTCTGACCACAGTCATCAGGCTCCGGTAATAAATTCGTATTATGGTCCATCATGGATTGAGGCGGCATGGTCAAAAAAGTTGGTAAAAAAAAAGAAACTATTTTAGTTTATCTACTAAAAACAAAGTCTGTGAAATAGGTGTAGCGATTCACAATGACTGTTTTCGTGTGTCTTCCGGTATATGCCACAGTTTATGTAAAACTTTTTCACCTGTCAACTACACTCGTGTTTAAATCATCTCGGCTTGGTAAAAATCCCTATGTTCACATCCTATGCCTGTTAGCGCTGAACGTCGAATGGCCTTGTACATCGAGACCGTCAATCTATGAATCACTGTGTCGCGGCTTCTGATTGGCTGAACGCTATGACTAACATCGTTCATTCAAACTCTATATTATATATCTATATATACCTGTGTGCTGTCGGTCTTACAGAAGTCTTGTACAAGTACTTTCAAGTGCGGTCTTGGTCTATAAGAACGGATGACCGAGTTCTTTGAAAACGTTTTCTCAACGCCCTTATAACACTCACCTGAACAGTCATTCAAGTTTTCTTTATTTACATAGCGTATATCTTACCTGGGCAAAGCATATACCTGGTGACGTATTCTGGACCACGTGAGAAGCTAGACAGACATTGACCAATAGTAATTAATTCATTTGTTATGTAGTAGATTCACTTTCGACTGCTTATAAATACTTCGATCTGCACACCAGTCGCTGTGTATGATAACACGTACAAACCGGCTTAACTTTTCAAATGTTGATAAAAATCTGCCCAGATAACAGTGAGTGGGTTTAGCTCTTACACAAGCACAAAATTATCAAATATCGGAAGTGGTAAGCCCTGTGTTTACTTCTTCCTTGTAACTCTATACGAACTGCACTTTTCTCTATCAAAGAAATGTGTACTATTTCAATAAGAACGCCACCTGTTTGTACAATAGCAAAACAAACTGTATTTTTCTTCATAAACAATTGAGTTTTGACGTGTGTGTGTATTTAAGAATTCAGAAAATGCTGATGTTTTTTTAAATTGAAATTCACTGTAACATTAATCAACAACCGAAAGTACTTAACGCCTGCATCTAGCTCTGAAATAAATTATCACGAAATCTAATTCATCATTTCGTCTAAAATGTCACTTGCCGGTTAAACGTTTGGACCTTATGGGACACTTGGCTTGGCTCGATCAATCACGCATTAGCACCATTTTCCTAAGGTCGGTTGGTAAAAAGGATAATGGACTTAAGAAAAATACCAGTCCACAGAGAATACATTTCTACAGTTCTCCAAAAGCAATCACTAAGAAAAGAAAATTACAAGGCCAATTCCGGTCGCTGAGATTTGACTACAGATATACCAGTATGATCCGATTTCACTTTCGTGAACATGACGATCATGGACTATAAAATACCATTTTGACCCTGAAATTTTTAAGCCCCTGAACAGTTTGTTTTGCTCTTAAATTGATGAAATATATAAATACAGTTCACAATCACATTCGATATTTAAAATTAACGAACGAAAACGAGGATAGAACAATATGTCATTGAGAATTCAACAAGTTTTGTGCTGAACAGATAAACAAGTTCGCGATTTTGTTGGAAGCAGGTGTGCAGCGTAATCAAAACTGTGAGAAATTCAAAAAACCAACGGATAAAATGGTGTTGGAGTTTGGGAGCAACACCACATTATCAGAAACGGCGATGAACTTGACCAACCGATATCTTCACACGAATGACCGTGAGGCAGCAATCGATATGTCTGATGTGTGAAATGTTCAGGTATTGATTCCAATGTGTGAATAACTAATTCTAAAAGTATTCCGTATGAGCCTTACTGAAAAATGGCCGAAATGGAGCCGAACAATTTTGGTGTAACGCCATTTTATCAGCAAGTGTGATAACGCGAAGACCTATAAACGAACAAATGTTGTGAAAAGTGAGACTGGTATTATCTGGGTCCAACTCTATTGATGGTATAGTGCGTGGGATCTCCTTTAGTTATTTTGGAGGTGTTCGCGTTATCCGAGACTTTGGGAAGGTGTTCATAGCGCGAACAGTACCCCGATATTGTATATTACTGTTTCAAACAAGGACGTGGGAAGACACAAAGTAAATATCTTATTCAAAAACAAAGCGTAAACATCGGAATGTATGGTAGTCACAAGTGTATCTGTTCGGCCCATATTGTCAAAACGCTGGTTCATGACCCACATATATGTATCTCGTGAGATAGAGGGTCGCCGTGTTGATGGTCTCTGTGATACACTCGCTACAATAAAACCCCAGGTTTCGACACTTGTAGTAATGTACTTTAAACATACAACACCACTGTACTATATAGGGGCCCAGTACAACAGTCATGAGAAACATTTGGGATTTAGATTTGTAAAACCCCCGCACCTAAAGTAATGGACCAGTAAAACAAAACCGTGTGCAATGTGACAATAGGCTTTTTATCATAAATTTGTTGGTACAATTTTTTATTTACAATTATTTCTGGTGGTGTGTTAGCTTACTGTGATGGATATCAGCATCAATTATTTCCATTTCCACTTTGAATGTAAATCTTCACCCAATCTGAACATCATCATATCCGGACAATCATCGCTTTCTCAGTAAGCTCTGAATCAGGAATTAATATAAAATAAGCCTGTTCATTAATCCGGACATTGTACTGGAATCAGAAGAGTACGGATATATGATGTTCTAAAAAGTTTTAACCAATCCGGATATTCGTCGATATTCTTGATTTTTACATTGAAAACAAAGGTGTTCAGTTGACCAAACGTATGTTGAAGAATCTGAACTAAGCCTAACAACTCGTGTATATGAACCCCTACCACCACTACCACACAAACACTATTTTGATGCTAGCATATTTATTTATTTGATAATCCCTATGTTGCCAGAAAGAAAAAAAACCTTTCGGGTGCTATCATAGCGTCCTACAAACTGATGGAATGTGTCTCCTCGACCAATGCTATGTGCTATAGACGTGTCACTCTGATAGTGACTTCTAGCACTAATTTCTGTTATCTTAGAGTACATAGTACACTGTATATATAGGGGTTGGACTAATTGATAAAATGTTCTCTTTATAAAACGGTACTTTACGAACGGCTATCTGATTACAGATAGCCGCCTGTTGATATTGACATTTCAGATCCCATCTGTAGTCGAATTGTTAGCATACACCAACCAATTTTCACGAACTCGATGCACAAAATATTCATTAAATGAACATAAGTACAAAACGATTTGAACTGTTTCGTTAAATTATTAATGTTTTGAAGCCCTTCTTATTTGAAAGTGAATTAACGTTAATTAACACTTAAATAAAACTTGGGGTTGAAAACTTACTCAATTTAATTAAGAAGCTAACAAATGCTTTGCAAGAACACGCTAACGTTATTTGAGTAACTCGCGAATCAAAGCTTGGTTCGAATACGACACTTATCATTCTAGTTTGAACAATACACGGAGTACCTGCCCGTAATTACGACTAATTGATCCGACTACAATTAGTTCACGATTACAATTCGGTGTTAACAAGCCTTCGTCAATTTGAACGAACTTTAGCCGATCTCAATTGATATGCACTGAGATATCTTGGAATTTTATGTGACATATTTTTTATCAGTACGAGAAAACCGTTTACCTGAAAGTACATACGAGTACACTTGATCCGTGGGTTGTATATACGGTACGCGCTGTAAATCTCGAAAATTGCTAGGTGATAAATATCATTTCGAGCACCTGTATCCTGTTCTAACGTTTCCAAATAGTAACAACATACTTTTCCTAAGCAATTTTCTCAATAGTGAAACCTGTTTACTGGACAAAATGGACAATTGAATAAGTCGTTTGCCTCGGGGACATAACATGTGTGTTTAACACGCAGCGTTATGAATAGAAACAGGATATTTAGAAATCTATTTACAACCGGAATTTGTAGAAAATTAAAACATTATTTTTTTGTGTAATTGGAGTCTCCAACGCTGACCCGGTACTGGCCCTAACAGTTATTAAAGGTGAGATATGTTTCGATCTCTCACGTGCCAAAGGCCGTAAACAGGGATTCGGGTTTCGCGAGTTTGGTATTTTTAGCATTGTCGCGAATTGGTCACGTTATTCTGGGATTAAGACAATCGATAACAGATGTGGTTACAATATTCAATTGACATCAATCCCCCGGAACAATTATTTCAACAAGCTCTACGATGACGAATGACAATTGGTATTTATGGAGAATAGCTATAGATATAGATATGTGTGATTATTCCTGAGGTTCCCTATACGGAGAACTACGTAGATATCTATATTTACGATATTATTGCAATGACATGCATTCCTGATGACAGGTGTATTAATAATCGTTATATTAAAATAAGTATATAAAAGTTCTCGTGAAAATTACGTAACTGATTCAGAGATATCAAGAGTCATAGTCTAAAATATGAACCAATCAAATCACGTGTAACAAATATGTTTCAAATAGCCAACAAGAAAACAAACAACCCGAGGTCGTGTCAGTTACACAGACCTTATCTTAAAAGTTTGAATGACATCATTTTGAAAAGTGTCCGTTAAATATGTATTTATTTCTCGTCTTTGTTGTTGTATATTTCTGTTATACAAGATCTGCAGATTTTGTTGTGTTTGTTAAGTTCACCCCTCGGGTGTATTTACTATGAAAACAGACTACAATCGATCACAATTGTACCGCAATATCATGGAATCATGGTGTCAGAAATACGTTTCGATACGCGCAAATGGAAATGAACGAAGAATTGACGGTTGGCATACATGTCAAAAGTTGTATATTGATGTCAGACTTCAACTCCCCTTATCCCCCCCCCCCCCCCCCCCCCNCGACCGGTTCCACTTTAAGCCACCCCCTCCCCTAGGCCTCCTGACCACCATGCATGCCTACATTTTACATGTCAATACACGGCGATCCGCCGGACCACGCGAGGATTCCACGCGTTATCTGACACCCCGTGTTGGGGGTGTTCATCGATAGCTTCTATTGTCACGTGTAACTATAAATAATTACAACTTGAAGCTCAGAAGGACGCGACATTTTGACATTTGACTGGCGAAGAATGCGTCCATGTCAACACCTCATGGATATTTCTACCGTAGAACACCACCCGGGTATAGTAGCCCCCAGTACACCTGCATACCTCACACCTGTCCTCAGGTGAATCAAACTTAATCACCCTAATTACATGTCATTTAAAAAATTTAACGGGTTTGTTTTATCGAAAAAGTCCATACTTAAAATGAGATTTTGATTTTGATATCAGTTTGTAATAATTTCGAATCTCAGACTGACATATTTTGCTTCTCAATTTCTAACCTTACCTCTTGTACAACTGTAAATATTGTTTTTCGCAGTCGGGATATCAAGCTTACAATACACTAACATGTTTACCTTGCTGTATCATTGTTATTAATTTTAATATCTGAATGAATTTTTTTTTAAATCTTTGGTCCTGAGATGACGACACAAGGCGATTTAGTACAAGGAAGACG